CGACCCTGGAAAGAAGACCTAGAGGTTTAAGTCAAGAAGTTTCAAAGCTGAGTATCCAACCCTACTACATGTGGGTGTTGCACTTCCTCCAAACCTTCCCATCCCTCCCCTCCCCATGTGTTCCGCTAAGCACAGGACCTGTGTGCTGCGTGGCAAGGGGAGAAGCAGGCCCAAGGAGAACTACTCACTACCATCTGCACTGCTTCTTTCAGTAATGGGAAGGATTGGGCGGGCTGGCTGCATGGTGTAGAATGATTCTCTCCTCCCCAGAGGGAGTCCAAGAGGTAGGCAATGAAATTTAAGTAGAAAGAAATGTAAATAGACAGGGCAGCCTTTAAAAACCAAACTGCTGTCCAGACATCCTCCATCCATGTGGAACAGCTTTCAACAGAGTTACAGTAAGTATTTACAGCAGTTGCTTGTTGGTGAGTCCCATCAGCTAGTGAGATTTTTTTTGAGACAAAATTGTTCAGTTTGTGCTTATTGTATAGTTTGAAGGGGAGAAAGGTGGAGGAAGTCAGGTCATCTCCTTGTTCCTAGGATTCAGCTGGACAGTAAGCAATGCTAAGAAAAGGAAACAAGTCTGATGAATAGCAAACACCCATCAGTAGACTCATCAGAGAGACATATTAGTGAAGAAAAGGCAGATTGCAGCCATAGACTGACACAGATAATTAACATCTACAGTGACTTTGGCAAGAACTAAGATGAAGCCTGAGCTAGAAGCTCAGTCAACCCCAGCTGCTTCCTTCCCCTCTCCTCAGTGCCCCATGCCATGTGTTGAACAGCTGTTCCCTGCAGAAAAGCAGCCTGACAGCTAGGAGATGACCTCACCTGGCTCATAGGTTGTAAGAGGCTTGTGTGCCAGGCTGTTGTAGATGTTGGTCACGGCGACGTTGGCGTGGAGCCCAGCATGGTAGGCCATCTTGGGCTCTTTCAGGTCTGCACAGTCCCCGATGGCATAGATGTTCTCGTAGCCTTCCAGCTGCAGGTGCTTGTTAACTTTCAGGGCACGGTTGCTTGCCATGATGTCCCCTGTTTTGCAAAGCAGGGACTTTTCAGAAGGAGCTTTGTGTTGCTTGTCCTGGCCTGAAACCCTGAGGTGCTGATGGTGTGACCAGACGTGTCACTGACACACAGCAAGGAGCTGGGTTTTCACCCACTTTTCTATGTGTCAGGGAAGAGGTGCTTTCTGCCTTGCTGTGGTTAATTATTGCAATCTCATACATGATCCTTTGGTATTTCAGTAGAAACATGGAGAGCTAATGTACACAGCCTGAGGAGGGGACCATGTAATGGTTGTCCTGCTCCACAGCTGTCGTGCCATGCCTGAAACTGGACTCAGACTGAAGATGTGTCATGGAATGACTAATCCTCTGAAAGCCACGGGACATGGAAACATAGTTCAGCAAGAACACTGAATGTGCTGAGCCTAGTTTTGCTCAGGACTCAGCAGACTTGTATCTAGGATGAAGTCCTGGCCTTGCCCACAGGAGTTACCATCAGCTCCTAGGTGTAATCTGCCTCATGCTGAACTAGGATACTAAGATTCCTTGGAGGTATTAGCAGAAAGAGCTACAAAAGACTTGGCTGCTTGATCTTTGGTCTGTAAGTTTCCCAAGGTCACGTTTCACAGTTAAGTATTTCATGTGATGTTAGAGCATTTGCTTTCTCATGGTTTCTCAGGTTGTACAAGGTAGGTTCCTAACCTCACATTACTCATGTACAAGACTTTGAAGAACCATGTTGCTTCTCCCCACCCCCTTTTATTTTGGTTTTGTTCCACTTACCAAAGGCAGCGGCATAAGCTGCAGAGTTAATCTTTATCCCTGTGCACAGGACCACCATGTCAGCAACCACCTCGGTCCCCTTTTCTGTCCTCACCACCATGTCCTTCTGGAACCGGTTCGGCGTCAGGCTTTCCAGGTTGCTGACCTTCTCATCTGTGGTGACAGAGAGCCCTGGGTCACAGACCTTTACCAGGCTGCCATGTACAGCCAGCCCAGATGTGGGCTGGAGAAACAGGAATCGGAGGCAGCCAGGCTTACTCAAAAAAAACAGGCAGGAGGAGATGCTTTGCTTAAAGGAAGAGCAGCTTATAGGACTTCAGAGTCTAGATCTTCAGAGGCAGTTGTCAAGTACGTACTTAATAGGAGGTGCACTCCTTTTCTGAGGAGAATCTCCTTCACCTCCTGACGGACGCTCTCCAGCAGCTCCACGTCAGCTAGGGCAGGTTTGGAGTGAATGAGGGTGACCTGTTGGGGACAAAACAGCAAAGGGGGACACAGGAATGGGACAGGAGTTACCACGTGCTGGGTGGGAGCAGCTCTAGCTAGCTTCCTTCCACCCTGCTTAAGCAGTGAAAGGCAATTAGTGCCAGTAACTGCTGGTGACAGGCTTTAGGGTCCTCTCTTGGAAGAGGAGGCAGAAGGGGACAGGGAAACTCCCAGTTTGGAGCATCACAGGTCAGTCTCAGAAACTTAAGGATCAACTTAATTGTAATGAACAGGCTCGTACCTCCTTGGCTGGGTACTCAGTTTTGATCTCTGCAGCCATCTCGACTCCAGCAGAACCACCTCCCACAACCACGATGCGCTCAGATTTCTCAATCTTGAAGTGAGGAGGAAACTCACGTTACAAGAGCACTGTTAGGGGCAGGAAGTCAGACACCTTCAGCCACTCTGACCTTTCTGAGACACAGCAATAAACCACCTGGTTTGTTAAGGGGAAGCAGAAAATGACAGCCCTCTTCCTGTATACACCCTCACACGGCTGAGCATTTCAGGTTTCCCCTTGTGTGGGCAGCTGTTCTTCCCCTGGGGCACACAGATGGGTGCTCCTCATCCTGGCCTGTCCCTGCAGCCATCCTGGTCTCTTGTTCTTAGACACTGATGGCTCCAGATACCTGTAGTGGTGCCTGGGACTGGGAAACTGAACAAAGGCAGGCAACTGCTTCCTAGGAAATGAGTTGATTCCTCACCTCCTTAGCCATGTCTTCATAGGTCTGGATGGCACTCTCCATGTCAATGACTTTGTTGAACTTCCCAGGGAATGGCCCATCACTGCCTGTCGCGAGGATGAGATGGGAGTAGTGAAGTTCCTGGGAGCGCAGAAGGTGGAACAGGATGTTAGATCTCTTCAAAACAGAACCTTGAAAACAGTTGTTGTCTCCTAGGTACTATTCACACTTTTGCCCTCCTCCAGCTCCCGCTGGTAACTAGGAAAGTACTTGCCACTGTTGGAAAGTGACTTCAGGAAGAAACCTGGTCCAAGGAACTGCCTTCTCAGGGTCTGAGAGAAGCACCATTCTTCAGGTGAGCTGAGTGCTTTGAAGAAGATACCATAGGGTCACAGGAACTAACCTGGTATTGATGCCAGACACTGAAGCTACCATCACAGCTGGCTTCAGAGACTAACCTCTCTTCTTCACCCTCCTCTGAACAGAGATGAGATGCTCTGGCTGAAAGAAGTTATCAGAGCTGCTGCCCTTGTTTCTTCCTGCAGTTAGATAAGGATCTGAGCTCCAGGGTTAATTGTTGAGCTCTAAATCCAGCTCTAAGAATAAAAGCTCATCTGAGCACTGGATGGGTTGCAGTATTTAGTGCACACCCACATCCCAACACAGCTCTAGGCCACTTAGTTTGGCTAGAAGGGATCATGCTATTCAGTGCCTGCATGGAAAGAAAGCCTCTGCTACCAAGCTCTTCAGGGTGATGAAATGCTACACGTTGCCTCTCGGTTTTAGAGGAGCTGGCTGGGGGCCTGCTTCTCTCTGGGGCAGCCCTCCAAATTTGTAGGTTATTGGTTTCATTCCTCTCTCCCTCCTGGAGTTACAGGGCCAGCATTAAGCACGAGCATTTGTCTGTCTGCTCAGAGGTGGCAGAAGCTGTGGGGAAAGCACTGGGTGCCTTCCCAGAGGGCCAGGGTTCTGGCGGGTGTTGCAGCCAAGCTGAGGGTCACACCAGGACAGGAGCCCTGTTGTGCATGTGGACTCTGAACCTGGGGAGGTATCGGATCGATCGGGGCTCACCAGCTGAGCTGCCCTGCCCTGCAGGAGGTGCAGGGGTGTTTCTAACAGGTGAACAGCATTCCCAGTTCTCACCCAACTCAAGGAGGTCCAGCTTGGTTTCCCCAGAGAACAATTCCATCCTCCACACCTGCTCTCCTCTGGCAGATAAGAGCTACACTCCTCTTCCCTCTCAGAGGCACGTTTTCTGTGTCAAAGTGCCTTGTGGCCCTGCTCACCTCATTCTGTCCCCCTGGAGGGCTCCAAGCACAGACAGCAGGGTGAAACCTAAATTCCAAGTCACTTTTCCAACCAGTCCTCCTGAGTCAAAGCCAGCACAGCCTTAGATTAGGAGCACTGCATTCTCACAGCCCCCTCGTAGCTGGAGAAAAGCCCTGAGAAGGAGGGACTCTCTGCATCAGCAGATCCTCACTGCAAGTTCTTCCATCACCCACCTCACCATCGCTGAGCAGGACCTGTTGCCTCCCAGGGTCTATGCCAACCACCTTGCCTTGTCGGAAGCTGTCCCCAAAGGTGACAGAGTAGGAGATGAAAGTCTTCTTGGCAAACCCTGTGGTCAGAAGAGACAGCAGGGAAGAGCTCTGGCGGTTGGCTCTGTGGAAGCCAGCAAACCCCTCCTCCCTTCTCTCCTGCCATCCTTGCTCAAACACCATAGGCTGGGCCTCTGCTCTGTGATATCTCTGCCCAGCCATGAGCTTGGGGACCTTTGCCTCAGGTTTGATGACAAGACCAGCTCCTGGGAGGCCGGATGACACTCTCAGCTGGATTGCTTTGTCTCTGCTCCACATACAACCTCCTGTACCAGTCTGCCAGTAAGTGCTCCACTGGGGTCCAGGGCATTTCAGGCAGGATATCAGAGGCTTTTTGTCATCTCACCTGCCTCTCAGATCAAGCCTTTGATATCCTTTTGATGCATGTTCCCAGCCCTGAAAGTGAGATTTTCCTCCTAAATCCCTAGAGACTGGAATAACAGGGTTAACCCAGTCTCCCAAGCAAGATCCCAGGCCAACCTGAGCAGCTTTCCCAATACAGTTTTATCATCCAGGCTCTCACTGCTGAGCTGCTTGACAATTTCAAGTGCCAGATCCAGAAAGCCATTTCTCTCACCCCTCCCAGCTGCAGCTGCTTTTAGCTTAGTCACCTTCTAAACTCTTGAAATAAAATATAAAAAAAACAACACCCCACAAAGGAATCACTTGAGTGGTTTTCACTCCCTTTTCCCAGCAAGACAGGCAATCAGCTTAACCCAGACGGCCTGCGGGTCCTCCCGGGAGCCAAGTGTTTGTTTTCGGGGTGGAAAACATCAGCTGTTGCACCATCGCGGGGGCCGGAGGAGGCACTTCCAGCACCTCCTCGGAACCCGAGCACATCCCCGCGCGGGACAAAGAGCCCGGCGGGGTTTGGAAACGCGACGGGGACCGGAGGGGAAGTTCTCACCTCTCTGCACGGCGGCGCGGAGGCCGGCGACGTTGTGATGGAAAGAATCCCTGACGTCCAGCAGCAGGAAAGGGATGGCCCAGGCGCGGAGGAGGCTGGCGGCTGCCGTGCCCCCGAAGCCGCCCCCCACCACCAACACCCGCTCCGCGCCGTCCAGCGACAGCCGAGACCCCATCCTTGGGCTGGGCGAAAAAACTCTCCCCTCGCTGAGATCTCCCAGCTGGTCCCAGTCTGAGCGCAGCTCTGGGCCCCCCGACGCTTCCTGCCGGGATCTGCGCAGCTCAGCGCCAGTCCCGGGTATTCATCCCCACGTTCCCTTTCCTTAAGCCCCTCCCGAACCCACGTTCTCCACCTGAGAAAGGCAACGTGAGGATCTCAGGAAGGAAGGGCTGTGTTTTGAGGGTGCTGGGCAGGCACCCTGAGATCAGGGCTGAGCAGGGAGCAGAGCCCTGGGCCAGGCTGCCCAGAGAGGCTGTGGAGTCTCCTTCTCTGGAGACGTTCCAACCCCCCTGGACACGTTCCTGTGTGATGTGCTCTGGGTGCCCCTGCTCTGGCAGGGGGTTGGGCTGGGTGAGCTTTCCAGGTCCCTTCCAGCCCCTCAGGTTCTGTGATTCTGTGAGCCTGGCAGCTTGGGGACAGTAGCTGCAGCTTGGCAGCAGGGAAAGACAA